TGGTCTACGGACGTAAGCTTACATCATGTACAGACAATTTGTGTTTATACATATATATATATAGACATGCTATATACACACAGCACACATACACACGCACGTATACATATACCCATGCATATGCATGTGTTTATATATTTCTGCATAGTTTAGTATTTAGTATTGATAATAATCTTAATAATCTGAAAACTCATATTCACAGTATATGATTCACATTCCCGCTAATACCAATACTCATGCTAAAACGAATATGAATACGAATACGAAGACTAATGTTAACTACATGCATAGATACATATACATATATATATACACACATGTACATACATATGCATGTCTGTATATGCGCATGTACAATGTCAGTGTGTGTGGGAGTGTGTCTGTGTCTGTGTGTATGTGCGCGTGCGCGCATGTGTGTATGATATGCATGTATGTACGTATATATGTATGTCTATGTCTATGTCCCTGTCTATGTCTATGTCTATGTCTATGTCTATGTCTATGTCTATGTCTATGTCTATGTCTATGTCTATGTCTATGTGTGTGTATGTATGTATGTATGTATGTATGTATGCATGCATGTATGTATGTATGTATGTATGTATGTATGTATGTATGTATGTATGTATGAGGTATATATGTATGTATGTATGAGGTATATATGTATGCATGTATGTATGTCAGAAGATAGGCGAGCTGACCTGAGGCTCTCTCTTGCAACCGGAAACAGGTTTTGAAGTCGTTGCAATTGCTGGGCAGCGCTGAAAAGCTTTCAGCGGGATTTGCCAATGTCGTGTGGCGTCGCGGATTGAATTAAGGATTCATGGAGTAGTCGTAGGCTGCAGTTTTACAGTGTCTTTCACGATTGTTCACGGACGAGATGATATCAGCTATCGATTATGGCCGCGAGTGTCACGAGACTGATGGCACCTTGAGCGTCAACGGGAATGACCCATTCCCGTCTCGCTTTGTCACCGCATCTGCACCTTCAGATCATGGGCACAGGTGATGCAAAATGCGCGTGGGGTCTTTTTCCCAGGTTGGGCCTCAAGCTGTGAGCCCTAGACCGCCTTGAGCCTAGCTATAGCAACTAGCGGGAAATACCATGACGCTTGGCATGTAGATTCGGGGACCAGTGTTGTTCGTTTCAGACACGGTCGCCCCAAACCCCTATACACCGCAAGCCCTGCGTGCGAACAAGATGTACACTGCAAGCGCAGTTTCGGGTTTATAAAGTTTAGAACAAACTGTTTTAAGATGTGAGCCCTGAACTTTTTAAAACCTGAGCCCCAAGCCCAAATTGTTCAAGATGTGAACACTGAGGCCACCGATGACGTCGAAGTAGTTACCTATCCACCACCAGAGGATGGTCCTCCGCTTGCAACGGTTGGGGTGGAGTCTGGAGTGCACCTATGATAGTCTCCATTGTAGTTCCTTTTTTTGGTTTAACCAAGTATATATTAAGGATTCTATAAGGTATCCCCAAAAAGGAACTACAATGGAGACTATAGGTATGGTTTAGGTTCAGTGTTCTCATTTGCAGCAGGTTTCGGCGGCCTAGGGGGAATTGAGGTTGAGTGTTCATGAATTTCGGTCAGTATTTCACAGGTTAGGACTTGACTTGGGATTGAGTTTGAGTGCTCATGATCAGTATTTCACAGGTTAGGACTTGACTTGCGTGGTTTGGGCTAAATCTGCCTCCGTGTGTAATTTGTGATAGCTTCCAGGATATTCACGGTCCATGCAAGCTTTCTGGCATGTGCTTGGGTAAAGGCACTAAGTATCACTATGGGGTTTAGGGCTTCCGGTTTCGGGGCGGAAGTGGTGGTGAGGGAAATTTCAATGTGCACCCTTAGATGACTGCCTTCGTCGCTTCGTGGCCATAGCCATCGCCGTAGTTCGTGGCCGGAGATCCAGGCCACAGGTATTTGTCCATTTTCATTAGCATCCCCACAACCTTGTTTGAGCAGCTTCTCCTCCGTCAAAGAGTATTTTGTGGACTGGGTCCATCGCGGGTCGAAGCTTCCAACACGTTGCCGGGGTAGCGGAAGCTTTGTCTGTCTCTGTTTCGTGAACCTGTGCGAAAGGACGCTTTTGCCACTGCACGGTCACCACAATGATCACACAGGGTACCACCGGCACCTTCTCCAAATATCACGGCCACCGGCAGCACCAGCTTGTTTGACTTGGTGGCTAGAAACCGACAAGTTGTCCACATCTCCCTACGACGAGACGTCTTTCTAGAAGCCTCCAGTTCAATGACTGTGACTAAGCAACCATGATGTCCATGGCGCAAGCGAGGTCGATACGAGGTTTTGTTTCCGGCGGGATCCCAAGCTGTTCCTTGGGCCCCAGCATGGGTTTAGGCTTCATCGGGTTTTGGAGCGTTTTGGGCTATGGCCTCAAGGTTTAGGGACTTCATTCGGATTTGGGGGGGGGGCCTTTCTGGTTTCGGCGTGTGCGCAGTAGCCTGAAAGATCGCTATACAACTTCAGGCCCCACAGCGGGCCCGAAAGGAATGGATGCTCTCGCACATAATTCTAGCAACAAGACCCTTTATCCGCTCAGCCCCCATCCAGCTTGAAGCACTGAGCCGTGAACCTTCAAGTTCTGGCCTTACACCACGAATCCGAATCTCCAACTCCGTAACTTGAGCTGCATACTCCGAGCCCAGTCTGCGTAGACGAGAGCTTAAAACCAGAGAGCCCCACACCTCGTAGTTTTTTCGGGGGTTCAGATGAGGAGGTATCCTATGAATCAGAAGAGTAAGCCCAAGACAGTCGGAGGTTGGGTCTTAAACCCTTCAGGGTTTTAGGGCTTTAGGGTTTTAGGGTTTTACGGTTTTAGGGTTTAGGGTTTAGAGTTTAGGGTTTTAGGGTTTAGGGTTTTAGGGTTTAGGGTTTAGGCCAGGTCGGTGAGTGAGGCCATAGCCCAAAAACCCGTTAGTTAGGGTTAGTAGGCTCTCGGGCTTATAAGGTTTACAAGTTACAAGTCCGAATCTAGAACTTCAGCATGTTAGGAGTCTAAGCGTGAGGCCCAGCTTTTCGGTTTTGGCGCTGTGGTTTGTAGTGTCTTTTGGGGCTTAGGTCGAGAGGATCCACGCGGTGGGGCGATTATAGTCTAGGACATTTTCAGGTGGGTAGTTACCGTTATAGGAGCCTTATAGAAGGTCTATATACCTTATGGAAGCCTCATAGAAGCCCTATATACCCCCAAACTCCCCACCTGTAGTTTCCTTTCAAAAAAGAGGTCCGAGTAGTTAGGCAGAAGACCCCCTTACAGCACTAAATTTAGCCAACCCCGAACCTGTTCAAACTCTTTAGGTGCCCACTAATTCAAGGATTCTAAGGTTCTGGGCCCTTGTGAAGCCGAAAGCGAGTTTAGGGTCTTGGCCAGCTATTTTTTGAGTCCATGGCGCCTCTCGCTCGTCAGCGCATGCTAGCTCAAGCCCTCGCGGCCCTCACGAGGATCGAAGCACTCGGCTTCAAAGCCTAACTTGATTCTGATGAGCACTCCTTCCGGAACTTTCTACCAAATCGGTTCAGCTGGAGATTCCAACGAGTAACGAAAGACCTGAGCCGCTGAGTACTATGTATGACTTCCTGCTTGTAAACCCGAATCCCTCTGTCAGCTGGGCGGCTGGGAAAGCCCACAGGCCCCAAACAAGCCCCAGCTCCGATTCCTAACCGCGTATCTGGGTTCCAATCGAAGCACGCAGAAGGAGAAGTAGGAGGCAACATCGGCAAAGCATTCACAGTTTTCGGGTACTAAGGTGTGCCTGCCTGGTGAGGGTACTTTCCATTGGGCTGACTGGCTCCGTGGCAGCAAGCAGGAGCAGCAGGGTGGTGTCTGGTTCAACCTCTAGGCTCCATTGTAGTTCTTTTTGGGGGATACCTTATAGAATCCTTAATATATAATTGGTTAAACCAAGAAAAGTAACTACAATGGAGACTATAGGAAGGTCTTTAGACCACTGAACCACTACACCTTAAGTCCGGTCCTCGATAGCCGTTTCTTCTTAGTGCTTCGCCCCAGAACTTGCAACGATGCCGTCCCAAAAGGTAACACGGTTAGCTGGAAGTTGGGAACATGGCATCCCATGGCTGCTGACGACTTCTGTGATTTCAGCCCCGCCCCTCGTGACTACTACGGTTAGCCTGCCGGCTTAGGGGGTTTAGGGTTTAGGGTTTAGGGCTCTTGCATGCGTCGAATCCCACGTGAGATAGCCGGCCTGAGTCCTGCGGCTTAGGGATCGAAGAGGGTCCGAAAGTCAGACATGAGGACAGGAGGAAGATCTGTATCTAGGACATTTTCAGGTGGGTAGTTACCGTTATAGGAGCCTTATGGAAGGTCTATATACCTTATGGAAGCCTTATAGAAGCCCGAAATACCCTAAACTCCCCACCTGTAGTTTCCTCTAACTTTATAGGTAATTATGGTGTTTTGGCCATGGCCAGGATCCTTGAAGCAAGGACAGCCGACTGTGAGCCCTCCATCCCTCGATGATCGACTGTTGCTGTTGTGTATGATTATTGGCAACTGTTAGGGTATATTCCAGTAACCTGAGTATGTACGTCGAAGATCTTCACCAGTTGGCAATCCTTCCAACAGATGTCGAAGCTTCCTTTCTTCCAAGGTCCAAGACCCTAAACCCTAAACCCTAAGACCCCAAGACCCCACTTCAAGTCTTATTGCACAAGTCTTCTTTCCGGCGACAGGCCCATCACAGTAAACACCTGGCTTGGCTCCTGCACCTTTTTTTTTGCATGTGGGAACTGAAGCAACGCATCACTCAGGCTTGGGTCGGTCCTTGTGGTTTGCTGGTTTGCACACCTTCAAAGCCCAAACACGGCCAACTGCTTACTTCTGGCTCAAGCCTGAAACCTGGGCAGCTAATCTTGCAGCAGCCGTTCTGCGATCCATATCTCGAAACAAGGGTTGGCCACAAGGCATTTCATGAACAGCATTGAGAGGGCCAAAGGGCGTAGTGTTTGCCAGTCATGGCCACGGATGCCAAGGACTTCCAGTTCCCGCCCTTCTACAGCCTGCCTCCATTCTTCACGCTGCAACCGAACGCTACCGTCAGGGCCAAGCAGATGGAGCTGTGGACGCACTTTGTGTGCGACTACTGCAGGTTTCACCGAGTCTTCATGCTAGACATCTCAGACTCCTCTGCCATCTTCAAGAATGCTGAGATCCAACGCCAGCTCGCCGGCGACGCGCGGAAGGCCCTGGCCAAGCACTTGGTTGAGACGGGGGCAGCCGCCTGGGCCGATGACGGAAAAGGGGGGTCCCAGCCACGGAGTGAGAGGCTCTTGATCTTCTGGCGCTCGCCATCAGCTTGGGCAGATCAGCTCTTAAACTGGGCTCAAGAGATGGGGCTCATAGGCAGCGTCGAGACTGTGCAGTCCCTTATGGATGGAGAGGCAGCAGAGGGCCAGGAGTTCTTTGGAGCTCCAAGAGAGCTTATCATGGTGGCTTTGCAGGAGCTCAGCCGAAGGGGCCGGGCTACGATCTTTCGGGGCGGCTCGGGTTCCGAAGGTGTCAAGTTCTTGCCAGCATAGCATGTGCTGCCTACCAAGTCTGGGACACCTCTATGCCTGCATATGGTCGGCTACCAACCAATTCGTGGTACGACATGAACATTGTGTTCTGAGTGATCTCGTGTCGTCTAGTGAGAAGTGAAGTGGAAACCCTAAACCCTAAACCCGTGTAGCCTCCATGAGACAGACCCAGCAGAGGCAGCTTGCTGCAACTTTCGCTCGCCGGCTTGAATCCTGATAGTGTGAAAGGCTTTCAAGTAGGCGGCTTTGTGCCAAGCATCCGAAAGGCCTACGGGAGGTTGTAGTCTTATACACTTCAGGAGTTACGGGGTTTTCTGGGTTGCGATTTGTTGCCTTCTTGTGGCATTTGGGCAGAAAAACTAGCTAGCCAATGTTTCTGCAAACATTCAGTGGAGGATCTAGGTACATTCGAGGCTTCTAAGCTTCGTTGCGGTACAAGCATCTCTTGGTTGAGCCAACGGTGGATGCTTCATCAAAAGCCAGAATCAAGACTCGTGCTGCTCAAGATTCAAGTCTAAGCTCCGCCTCGTCGTGCTAAGTTTTAGGGGTAAAGAGTTGGGCGTTTAGGGTTGGTTTCTTCGAGGGAGCTTTCTCTGTTTTTTGCTCATGCCATCGTTTTGCTTTCCCTGTTTGAGTCTTTGCTGCTGCTGTGTCCTCAGAGGCTCTACCCATAGGCCCCAAAGTAGTTCCTTTTTTGGGCTTCATATTTAGAATCACATTAGAGAAACCCCAAAAGGAACTACTATGGGGCCCATGGGTATGCCCTGGTTCAACTATACAGGGCAGCTATTTGGATGTGTTTTGTTTGGGATCCCCTGCTTGTAGGTACAACCCTGATGCTTGAGTTCGTTGAACTCGATCAGGCCTTCGAGCCGCAAAAAGCACTTAAACCCCCGTAAAAAACTACGCCATGCAGTTCCCAATTCGTAATTTAGCGCAGATTCTTCGAGGTTCCTCGAGCGAAATCCGCACTATGCCCGGGGCCGAGTCAAGGGGTCATGCCGGGTTTAGGGCAGATTCCGCGTCTCGTGGGGGCGAGCCCATGCAGCACGTCAGGGTGTGATTCCTGGCGCTCAGGCAGACACTCCTGGTTCATAAAATTCTCCACGGATGTTTACGGGTGCAAACAGCGTTAGCGTTGAGCTGCTTGAAAGCTGTGGAGACTTAGGGCATTGAGGGCTGCGCAACCTCCTCACTGATCCATCTGACTCCAAGCCTAACCAACTAATTTAATATTAATATGTCTTACTCTGGTATTTGCTTGTTCAACCTGTATTCCGGGGCAATCGACAGATAGCGTTCACGAATTGCGTAGGGCCCAAGGTGATCCGATTTACAAGTCGAGCTTAGGACTTAAGCTTAGGCTTGCGATGTTTCGGTGAGAGGGAGTCTGGTCTCTCGGCCCGGCTTTGGGCCTGGCCTGTTCTGTCTACGTCTTCCTCGCACCGCTGCTGCTTGGGAGCCCCATAAGGGGCATCCCTCAGTCACCTGCACCCTCGGGTGTGGGGGGATGTGGGGGGGGGGAAGGACTCTCAAACACATTAGTTGTTGGGGGTGGTGTTTGGTTCGTATGCTTCGCGTACTCAGTCCAGGTCGAGCTCAGCGAACGCATGGTTGTCGATTGGGCATCGAGGCCCCGCTGAGTGCCACATTGTCGGGGTCCGGACAATCTCCGGGGGCACGGGAACCAGACCACAAGCCTTAAACTAACATCCCGAGTGTTCCCGGCGGGGGCGGATATACACAAGGCCTGTGAAAGATCGCAAAAAGCTTCAACAGAGTTCATCTTTCAAACATGAGCAAAAATATCAACAACTTGCAGTATACTGGCATGGTCAAGTACAAGTATGTCTCTGCCCATCGACTCAATGTTCGGTGTTGATCAGAAAGCTTGTCTACATGACTTTGTTGGAACTTAAGTTTCAATCGGTGCTAGGCGTTCTGAGATCAGTTCGTAGTCTCCGCCAATTTCCCGCACCTGTTTCCAAAAGCTATCTATTATGAAGCCGGCTTAGTATTGCATATATGGAATCAGTATCTAGGTGTGTTACGGACATCGTATCCAACAGCCTTTCGACTGCTCTCGTGTTCTTACCACATCTAGCATGCAACTGTGGAGCCAAAACCTCTCGAGCCTTTTGAATGGGCCCATGGCCCTAAACTTTCAGAGCGCGAGCCTTCCGAGAAGAACGGGTCTGGCCTTCTGTTCGTGGCAGGTTTTTCGCAGGGCCATGACAGGTTAGGGTTTCTTGGTGCTCCAACCTAAACTCGCAACCGGAAAGAACCAACCCGGAACTGCAAGTCCTAACCCCTCCACCCCCAAACCCCTAGCAACCCAGTCAAGCAACGCAGAAGGCAAAAAAAAACCCTACATCCTAAACCCCAAACCCGAAACACTCAACCCGCCTCTTTGTCAGGAGCGGAATCTACAGACCCAAGGTTGCTTCCGTGAAAGCTTCCAACGATCGGCTGCTTGGAACAGCATAAGCTTTGCATTTTCTAGCTTTGGGCTTTGTGTCGCTTCGGGTGTACATCCAGTTGCTTGTCTCGGATTTCGATGTTTAGCGAGTTAGGGTTTAGGGTGTTGGGATTGGTTGCGAGCTTAGCTTGTGATCTATCATCAAGATCAGGAGGGACATAGGGTTGCGATCAGGGGAGAGCATTTTGACGACTTCTGCTACGCAGCGATCTCGCTTTGGGGTGTATTGGTGTTGCTGGTCTTGACAGGAGCTCGTGTAGAGCTCGGCCCCACCAGAAGGAACCTACGGTTTCGGCCCTGCTCTCATAGGTGAAGCGGGTAGATTCAGCAGGGTTCAGAAAAATATGTAGGATTACACTTTAGGTCTGCGCACCGCGGCCGGGCTTCGCGGGTGAACACCGTCATTGAAGCAAAACTCAACAGCAAATCTCGGTGGCTTGAAAAATTTGGTTTTGAAGATTTTGAAGCCCTACATGCCTACATGTCCTGAAACCCTCCATGACGCCTGAAGTTTTGAGCCTACCTTGAGGCCCAAGCTTCGTGCCCTTCCCTGTTCTCTGGTGGTTCATGTACCCCAGACAAAGGAGGCTGGTGTGTAAGGATTTGTAGCATTCCCTAAGGGTCCATGTACCCAAATAGTATATACTTTGGCCCCAAAGTGCCTATATAGGGACTACATTGAAGCCAAAGCATATACTATTTGGGTACATGGACCCTTAGGGATTTATGAGGCCGGAGATGAACTTCGGTATGCCCCACCTCGATGAGGGCACGGCGCCGCGCCGAGATCCGTAAACCCCAAACCTCACTCTCTAAAGCTATTCTTGCGGCCATGGGATTTCTTGGCCAAAAGTTAGGATTTCGTTCCGGTGCTCAGCATTTTGCATTCAGGGTCCAGGGATTATCCCTTGGCAGCCATCATGAAGCCAAAGGTTTTCTTTTTCACAAATTAGGGTCGGTAAGGCATGCAAACCTGTGACAAGAATGGGCAAGGTCGCGGCTACTTTTTCCTTCTGCCTTTAGGAACAGGTGGCGTTCGCTTTTTGTCGTTTGAGGAATCCCTACCCCAAGAGTCCAGGCACATGTGCAGTTTGGGCCCAGATGTTTTTTCTGAACCCCCCCCCTTTGGTGCGAGTCAAAGCCCCCAATCCAAAAACGAAACTTAATAAAACCCTAGATCCCAAAGCAAAACCCCTAAACCCTAAACCTTAAACCCCTAAACCCTAAACCGTAAACCGTTGAGACAGCCAGCTCCCCAGAACCGGGGATGGCCACAAATGCTTGTCTCGGAGGGATGTAGAGGCTGTGAAGGGTTTAGGCTTAAGGCTTGAGGGTCCCCTCGCCTGAGCCTCAAACCGAACGTACCCTAAACCCCAAACCCGAAACCCCGAAACCCTAAATCCCTAAACCCTCACCCCCAAACCCTAAACCCCTGAACCCCTGAATCCTAAACCCCGAAACCCCTAAATCCTAAACCCCCCCAAACCCAAAACCCCTAAAAACCCTAAACCCTAAAACCCTAAACCCCTATAAACCCTAAACCCTAAACCCCCTATAAACCCTAAAACCCCCAAACCCCATCTCTCAGCCTCCGGCCCTGAATTCCTAAGTTCGAGGCCCGACAGCTTGGGACCTTCGGCTTTGAAAGGGCTTAGGGTTTTAGGGTTTTAGGGTTTGAGGTTTAGGGTTTCAGGCTTTAGGGTTTTAGGGTTTGGTTTGGGTTTAGGGCTTAGGGGTCCCTTTTAGGGCCCTTTTTTTATCAGGGTTTAGGGTTTATAAGGGTTTAGGGGCCGTACTAATGTTGGGGACTTTAAAAATGGGACCCTAGTTTAGAGCCACCCAAATCCCAAGCCCGGAAAACCTTTGAAAACTTGATCCCTTCTCTTCCTGGCATGGCCCAAGTATTCCGACCAATAGCTCGTAGTTTGGCGTGTTCTCAATGACAAGGCTTGTTGTTCTCAACAGCTGGGGCGTAGTTGATCTGTAGCTCCAGATCTGGGATTTGGGAGCGGTTTACGCCGGAACCAGGTTAGCGCCAGAGTCGATGGGTGAAGGGGCCTCTAGGGTTTCGGCCCGTTAGGGCCTTCTACTCCTCAACACAAACAACTCAGCTTGACCTTTCTCACTTGCAGCCCCTTAGATTACATCCAGCCACAGCATCCTACTCCGATGCTTCAGTTGAGCCGCCCTCGTCCGGGGGCCTTGACTCAACAACCTGAAATCACCTCTAAAGCGCTCTCCTTAGGCCCCCCAAATTTTTGCAAGCCATGGCCCAGAACCCCAAGCTTGGGATTGAAGCCTAAAGCAACCCTAAGCCATCTTGGCCATGGTGGAGCCGAGCAGCTTGGGAAGACGCCGCGTCGGCATTGGGATTCTGTTGGTTTTGCAGTCTTAGACTCTGTAGGTTCTTGAGATTCAGTGTTACGCGCGTCGTCAACATGCTAGCACACTTCGAGGCTGTGAACCCTAACCCTCGAACTGAAGCCCCGCAGAGATGAACACGACCCTCAAGCATCACACCTTAGCCTCCTGGATCCCAGGCCCTCGCCCCGGATAGAGCCAAAACGAGTAATGGTCATCAACCGCACTAGCCGTACCAGCGATGAGGGGAGCACTTCTGCGAAGCGCATAACTGTGCGATTGGATTTTCCCAAAGCACTTACAGTTCTGATTTGGAGAAGAACACAGTCACATAATAACAAATCGTGCGGAAGAGTCAGGAACCCATTTGCTGAATGAGCCCGTCCGCACGCAGCCATCGGGGATACTCACACCGGACAAGAAGTCCTCCATGGCAGGGTGCTCAGGGTTCTGGTTTAGGGTTCAGGGGCTTGAGGTTTCGAGGCCGAAATGTCGAACAACTTGCAGGGTTTCGAGGTAAGGCCGCACCTCACAGCCACCATGTTATGCTTTCTTGGTTATAAACCTTCATGGTCAAGTCGAGAACCCTAGACCCTAAACATATATCCGAAGCTGCACCTGACCTGCAGTTTGGCGCGCTCTTTTGAGCGGTGTAGAAGTTGTTTCGCTCGGGTTCAGAAACCCCGACTTCGCTTTACGGAGCGCGAAACAGGGAGTCCCGTTGGTTTGCGGGTGCTTTGTGAGAAGACGCAAACCCACATTCGGAAAACATGTTGCCAGGTTCCTGCGTGTTAGCACAAGGTCGGCAACGATTTGGAGTCCAGTGAGTGGGGCCTACTCCAATGACTTCGAGGAATCATGTCAGACGGACTCAGGCGAATGCTATATGAGCTTAGGATAGTATTTTCAGGGCTTATAAGGGTATCAAAGTTAAAGCACGAGAGGCCCCTGGTGAAACCTTGCTGAAGCCACGGAAATCGCGGTGTGGAGGCCTATAAGACATTCTCCACAGCCGTGGATTCTGAAAAGAGTTCTTAAACCCAAAGCCAGGACAGTTTTGTTCCCACGCACATGTCCTGCCTAAGCACTTCACTAGTACTCAATTTAGTGCCTTTGTTTGTACAGGCCTGTAGGCAAAGAAGCCTCTTTGAACCGCTGCTTGCGTGACTTAATCTAGGGCTCCACTTGCCCAAAGACCGGGTTACTCTGGTTACCTTTTTTGTAGTTAGAACCTACTACTTTGGTAGTTGGAGCTCTAGACTAAGAGGCCATTCTCAACAACGCCTGCTTCAAGAATGCCATGGCGGCTTCCTTGGTCGTCGCCCCTCCTCTTGAACTTAAGAGAGGGCTCCTGAATCCCGAACCCTAGACGCACTTAGACCTCGTCTGGCCGAGTCCGAGTTGCCAGAGCGCACACCTTACGTGGGGAAGACGGGACTGTCTACATCAAGGATCCTATGCCGTCCTGTATTTGCCGTTCTCCTCTGCGGATCTGTCAGGGGCCCAAGTCCAAATAATTATCCGAAATAGACTCAGACCCCTATCCTCCTCGTGGCTTGAGGATTCGGGTGAGTTTCTGAGATGAGCACTCCTCCTAGTCGTACAGTTGCGGCAATGGGAAGACAGGAGTGCTATCCTCAGAGTAGGGGCCGGGAGTGTCAAGATATTTACTCGGCCACCGCAGGTGCAGCCACCACCAGCACCAAGAGCAACACCAGCAGCAGCAGCAGCAGCAGCAGCAGCAGCAGCAGCAGGTGCATCAGCCGTCAGCATCAGCACGAATACCGGCAGCCACCATCACCGTCTCAGCCATCCTAGCCTTAATCACTTAATTTCACTTAATCATCATACTCCTGTTCATCCCCCTGAAAATTCTCACCATCTTCTTGTACATCATCAAAACAATAAGAACAGCAGCGAAGACGACGATTCGCGATACTAAGAGTTGTTCACAAGCCCTCATGTGACTGGGCTTTCATCGCAGCTCCTATAGACCCATCCATGTCTCCACAGCCTCAGAAGTGGCAAGCCGTCTTGCGCGGGTCCAAATATATTTCAGGCGATTCCAAACTATACCCCCCGCTCCAGGCTACTGCTTTGCCAAAGAAGGAAGGTTCAAGCAGGCCTTGTACTAGCACGCCATCTGACCACTTCGCCCCCCCACCTCTCACCCGAAAGCCTCCAGAGCACAGAAAACCAGAATTTTCCCATCCTTGCAACTTCTAGATTCCAGTCTAGTGTACATGGGCTCAGGTCCAAAAAGGGGCTCTAGATTCTGTAGCCTTCAAGCCGCAAAAAGCCTACTGGCCTGATCCCTCAAGCCAAGGCTTTAATTGGCGGACCTTGCTTTAACCTCCTGGATATCCCAGACGTTCCGGGACTGGTGATCTTAGCGGCTTGGCTCTTGGGTTGATGGTCTTAGGGCTTTTACCTTACGAACTGAGAGGCTCAAGATTATGCAGGGCTTCGGGCTACGACTTTCGGCCTTGGCTCAAAAAATGGCCGTTTCTTACCTTTAACCCTCGACATGTTCCAGAGCAGTTCTACAGCAGGTGCGGTCAACAACAGGTGTTGAAGCTGACCCAGCATGATTTGTACTGCCACGCGAACCCGCACAACCCACAACCAGGACGCTGAATCGCGAGAACAAGAAAACATCGACGAGCAATGATACGACGAAGCACGCTGCCCTCAACCGTCAAGTTCAAGTCAACAGCACCTACACACACCCACACAACCTGAGTTCTTAAGCCAATGGCTCTACCTCCTGCATTGCAGCTATCTTGGGTTCAATTTTAGATGTGGGGCTGTGCAGACGATACTGTAGAAGCCTCAACCATTACCAGTATTATTCCTCCGGGTTCCTTGTTATATAGCTACATATATAATAAAGGAACCCCGAAAGCATATTATAACTACCAAGGCCCCTACATTCGAGTTGAAGCCTGTTAGAGTTTAGGGTTCAGGGGATTCTATGAGGGGGATGGAGTTGCCACCCTTGTTTTGGGTTTTGGGTTGTCAGGAATTTAGGGTAGTGCTACATCGGCTGCAGCTCAGCTTACAAAGATCGAGGGAGCGACATGTTACTGCAGCTTGTTGTCGATAAGGGGGTTTAGGGTTTAGGAAACCCTAAACCCGAAACCCTAAACCCTGAAGAATGAGACTGTTTCAGGTTGCAGGCTTCGGCTTAGAGCCCGAAGACCTTACAGCATAGACGCGTGCCTGGCTACCGAGGATATCGTCATGGTCGGCTCCTCAGCGCGTGACCGTTTCGGAGATGTGCAAGGTACCAGACATGCAGTCCCTGTTCGTGACTTTGAAACATGCGGTCTTTCTCCTGAGTGGTCTGATTCCTGACTCTACCAGCTAGCAATCGTGCAGATTTGTGAGAGGAAGGCACCTTGAAGAGACTC